AGGCTGGTCTCAAACCCCTGACCTCAAGGGATCCTACCACCTTGGCCTCCCAGAGTGCTAGGATTATAGGCGTGAGCCACCGTGCCCAGCCAACAATAATTAACTTTTAATAAGCATTTACCAAATAGAACTATTCCTAGAATTCATTAAAAACTTTTTTAGAGTGGCAAAAACACAGATAAGGTTCTTGGCTAAGGGAACTGTTCATGTGGCTTTTCAAAAAACCAAAAAGAAGAAAAAAAATAGCAGATACAAACCAATAGTTTCAAAATAATGTAATCAACACTATAAGCTATAAACAGGAAACAATAACGATCTACTAGGGAAGAGTGCTACTACAGAAGACAGGCACTGTGGCCAAGAGAATTTCAAACAAAAGAAATAGGATCTGGAAGAGGGCAGAGTAATGAAAGACCTTGGTATGACTAAGGACTTTTGGTTAGAGTACAGGGTCCTGCATAAAAAAGGTAAGAAGGTAAACTATGATCCCCAGCCACGCTTATCATTCCTTGACCTGGCCTCTTGGTTCCTTGACCTCTCCTCCTCCATAGATTTTATCTTCCACCTCACCTCAGTCATCCATTCCCATAATCATACCATTATCAATAACTATACACTCTCCCCTCATTTCAGTATTAAGTTTTCAACTCTCTATTTTCTCCTACCCTCCAACTTACTCCCTCTAGACCCACAACTCCAACGACCCTTTGACACATGGGACCTACAATGAATGCATTGATCATACCACATTTTAATAGCCTCGTTCTTCACTTCCCTCCTTAACCAGCTTAGGTGCTACGGTCCATTATTATAATCACTCCCTATCATACATCTCTAACTCTACTGCTCTGCCCTCCAATGTAATATGCAGTTAACTTCAAACACTGGTTGAATAATCACCTACCTTGCACCTGTATCCAAATGGCAGGAAATAACTAGAGAAAAAAATACACAATTATCTAAAAACGATTCTCAATTTAAATTCATTACCATTAACCTAAAGGTGAAGCCAAGGAATCCTAACCCGCTTTATCACTCTTCCCATTCACTCTCCAAGATAACTCTTTTATGCCTTCTCACTCTTTAAATCTCCAGCTTGTCCTCCCCTATCCTCAGTATGGAGGTGACCATGCTACCTATTTCCATTTGCAAGCTCTCAACAACACACCTGCCAAGCCACCTCTAGGAGACCCATATACTCTGCCTACGCTCCTGTTACTACGGATGAATTGTCCATGCTTCTGTACAAGGCCATCTCCTCCTCACTTAGGAATCAGATCTCATTCCTGTTTCCCTAGTTGGGCTCTAGTAATTCTCCCCTTCTGTCCCACATCATGGGTTTCTCTCTGTAATGGAGCACCTTCATCAACATACAAACATGCTGCTACTTTTCCTATGCTGTTATTCATCTCCTATCCCTCTCCACCTATTGCACCATTTTTCTGCTTTCCTCTATAGCAAAATTCCTTGACAGAATTATCTATACTCCCTTTACTCTTGTTCTCTCATAAACCCACTCCATCAAGCTTTTGTCCAAACCACTCCACAGAAACAGCTTATTTCCAGGTCCCCAATGACCTGCACATTACCATCAGTCAACTCTCCATTTTCAGCTTCCTTAGCCCATCAGGAGCATTTGACACCACGGATTCCTTCTTGAAACACTCTTTTCGTGTGGCTTTAGGGATATCAGATCCTCTTGACTCTGGTCCTTCCTCAAACTACCTCACCAGTTGCTCCTTCTCAGTCTCCTTTGCTAGCTTCTCCCCATCTCCTCAGCTTCCAGCTCAAGGGCCCAGTACTTGGCTCTCTCCCTCTACTCAACTTCATTCAGTATCAGGGCTCTGGATATCTCTGTACACCAATGACTATCACATGTCTATCTCCATCACAGCCTCTCATCTGAACTCCTGGCTCCTTAGCCAACTGTCTATGTACTCCTAATCTCTACAAGATGTCTAGTAGGCACCCACGTAGAAAAGAGTTAACATAGCAGGCCTGAAACTAATATCCTTAAAAAGTCCTGCTTGTAAGGTAGGCCCCTTGGCTGGTGTCTGTGAATTTAGATTTCAGGAAGATTCCAACCATTCCTTGATAAGAATGGTTCACTGTGCCTGAAGTGTTTATATAAACAATGTAGTTAATGCTGCATACCGGCTTTACTTCTAGAAATAAGGAATTTTGGTATGTGCTAGGCAGAGGGTGGCCATGTGACTAGGACTCCTTAGAGAAATGGCTGATTACAGGTCTGGCGCAGAAAGTGTACAAGATGAGCCAGAAGCATGTCACCACACCAGAAAGCAAGAAAACTGACAAAAAACTACTAGCACTATGTCAAAAGAACTCAGGAACTAACTTTGAAGAGGCTCCCACTGGCCAGAGTTGAGCAATTTGGGCATCAGTAAGTATAATAACCGTAATAAATTGGAACACATCAAACATGTTTAAATCCACAAGTTCATAAAGAAAACTAAAGCAAACTCATTCAATGGCCACCTTTGGAGGTTACTGAGGGACTAAATACGGTAACTGTTTTAAAAGCTAATGAATGACAGGAAGGAAAATTCATCCTGTCTTTTCTATACTAATAGCATAACAAGATGATCAACTATTTAATAAGAAATATCTCCTTATAGAGGCATTCCGCTAATAAACAAAAAAGAATAACAGACTATTACCATTTTGCAACTTCTAACAAATTAGCGGATCTTTTAGGCAATGATCATTAATGGCTGCTAACATCACAAAGACATGTTATAAGGGAGAGCAGAGGGAACATGTAGATTGAGGCCAATTATAATGTATGGACCTAATTTAAATATTGATTTGAACAAACAAATGTAAAAATATTATAAGACAATCAGAGAAACTGAAACCTTGACTGATATTCAATAACATTAAGGGATTGTTGTTATTTTTTAGTTGGATAATGTTACCGAGGTTTGAAAGAGTTATATGCTGGAGATACATAATGAGCGTCTGCAGACAGAACGGTACGACATCTCGGATTTCTTCATATAACAGGGAGGGGAGAGGGAGTGAGGGTATAGATGAACAAGATTGGCCATGTGTTGATAACCATTTAGGCGGGGTGATGGGACACACAGGGGTTCACTGCACTTATCAATCTACTTTTATATATGTTTGAAATACCCTATAATACAAGTCTTTTGTTTGTTTTTAAGAAACACTGTTTCATACCCATGGGACTGGGGAAAGTTTTAAACAGTGTGACAACACCCAAGATTGGGGAATTCTTACCCTGCTGGTGGAAGAGTAAACCAGCATTATCACTTTGAAGAATGATTTGGCAAAACAGTAAAGCTGAGGATGTACATACCATACAAACAATTACACTTTCAAGTTCCTTCCCTGAAGAACTCTTGTATATATATGCACAAGAAAATATGTACAGGAACGACTGTGGAAGACTTTATAAGCAAAAAATTTAAAACAACCTATGAGTTCGTGAAGAAGAAGATGGATAAATCATGGAATATTCCAAGACGGATACTATATGGCAGCAAAAGTAAATGAGCAAGAGCTACATGTCGACATGGATAAACCTTACAAACACAATTTTAAATGAAAAAAGCAATCTGAAGAATACACAACTTATGATATCAATATATTGAGTTTTAAAATATGCCTGAGAACAAAACACCAAATGCAGGATTGTGGTTACCTTTGAGGGGGAAGGATGAGGATGTAACAGGTAAAGGGTACACAGAGGGCTTCTGAGCATGTTTATTTTTTTAACTGGGTGTGGTTATAAAAGTGTTCCTTAAATTGTTCAGAAATATTTTATAATATTTTTTAAAATCCTAGAAAGAGGCCGGGCACGGTGGCTCACGCCTGTAATCCTAGCACTCTGGGAGGCCGAGGCGGGTGGATCGCTCAAGGTCAAGAGTTCAAGAACAGCCTGAGCAAGAGTGAGACTCCCGTCTCTACTAAAAATAGAAAGAAATTATCTGGACAACTAAAAATATATATATAGAAAAAATTAGCCGGGCATGGT